CACACGGAAAGCAACATCGCTCTTGTCACTGCCAAATGACTTCATCCAAACCATCTGGCCAAGCTTGTTGAACTTCGCGATGAACGCATCGTCGCTACCAAAGGCCAGCCCTGAGATTGGCAGTTCAGCACAATTCTGACGCCCTGTTAACCCCCAACCCATTGGCCACTTACGAGTCGAAAAGTAGGATGGCCGACCCTTTACGTAAGCGCCGGGCCAGAAAGATTCCCGCTTGATTGGCCGGCTGCCACTACGCTCCCATCGACACAAGCTGCCAAATCCCAGATTGCCTCCTCTCCACTTGTGCCGAATTGCTGCACCCACAGGAACTCGCCTGCCAATGAACCCTAAACCCTAAAGCCTTAAACCCTAAACCCTAAACCCTAAACCCTAAACCCTAAACCCTAAAGCCTTAAACCCTAAACCCTAAACCCTAAACCCTTGTTTGCAGTCACCTGGGTACATGAACCCGGGCTCCCTGGACGCACGTAAACCAAAGAGGAACCCACTGAACTCGAATTTTTGCCAGCATAGACCCCGAACAGTGAGATCAAGGGGTGTGGGGTTTAGGGCTGAGGTTTTAGGGTTTAGGGTTTAGTCCCAAAAGTCCACAAGCGACGGCAGTCTGGCATTTGACGAACCCGATTCGCATTTCGCGAACACAGGCGGCCAAAGCAATACCAGTTTCGCATGCGGGCATCCCTAAGCCAAAAAGGCGATGCCAGTTTCATATTGGGGGAACCCAGATGTCTAAAAAGTGATGCCAGTTTCGCATTTGGCAAACCCAAACGTCCAAACGCTACGACAGTTTCACATTTGGTGAACCCATGCAGACGCCCCAAAGCGACGACTGTTTCGCGTATTTCGCGAAACCAGAAGCCAACAGAAGCCAAAAACCCATGACAGCTTTAGTCCAAAAAGCGAGCGGGCTTCGAGAAAATCGCATGGTCCGGGCCGGATGCCGGGGGCGCGCCAGGGCGGCAAAATGTACCAACCCCCGCTTGCTATGAATGCTGGAACCAGTGTTCACACACACTGTGTGTGGGGGGGGCAAAAACAACACTGAGCCCTGCTGGCCTGTCTCCGGATCCAGCTTGCCAAGGACGCAATCTGTGCCGCCCTTATGCTCGCCAGCCACCAGCTCACTTCGCGTGGCGCCAGCAACAAAGACGTGCTCTCCTGAGGAGGCTACGGCCGTCATTGCATCGGTGCCCTCGGTGATCAGAGTGCGCTGCCACAGAAGCCTGCCCTTGCCGTCAAGCTTCACGACGTATCCATCACTGGTGTTCAGATCGGGAAGCAAACCTGGGCCCACGTGAAATGCATGAGCACCTGTTTCCTACTAATTGCTTACGAACCCCCCGAAAACGGGAAATGAAAATCCCTCTATTGCCCTTGTGAGGAGGTTTTTTTTTTGTTTGGGGGGGGGGGGGGGTTCTTGAGGAATCAATAGTTTCTTGAGGCTGCCGCAAGCACTGCACGCAGAAGGAAACGAGATCGTACAAGAAGCCTTTTTGCGGCAACACCGTGCCAGTCTCGTTGAAGTGCTTGGTGCGGGTGTTCGTGATACCCACAGCGTAGACACACGTGCCTCCGCGAGCGCAGGCAGCAGCTGCAATGTCCAGAGGCAAGTCCTTGCGCGTGAAACTCTGTTCAAAGTCGCAAGGGCACTGCTCGCTCCCTACACCCTACACCTACACCCTAAACCCGAAACTGCGCGGAGTGCTAAACTCACAAAAGCTCGGACTTTTAAGCCAACACAGGGCTGCAGTGTTAACACGTATTGGGCTCAAACACTACTCAAGGGAAAGGCTGCACAAACACTGTACTATCTGCGCACCCCCCCTGCAGCTTTGCCTTGTCTAGGCTGCTGCGACTTTCTTGTGAGCACACACTTTACATTTACGCAGAGTCTTGAACCCTTGGCGTAAGTGCTCACATGTAGCATTTGTGTGGTACACTGACATGTGCTTTGTCAGGTACACATTCGTGGCTTCGTTGTTCTTGGAAACTTTCAGCTTCCACAAAAGAAACATGTTGAGTGTCACACTGCTTACCAAAAGGAAAACCACAGACACACTGAGGTACTGCTCCACAGTTCCTCGTTCCACAAGCTGCAGAACTGTGACCATTGCACTTCTCACTACAAGGGCTTCTCCCATGTTCAGTGAGGTAGCTCCCTCCGGTAAGGCTTATACACGACACTACACAGTTGTCTGAGAGAAAGTCTTGCGGGAATCTTAGGCTTCCACTTGTTTGACTTTCTTTCGACTTCGTCAGCAATCGTACTGACCCTACTCAGTGCTGTTCTTCTTACCTGCTCGTCCATGCCAGCTTTGCTGAGTTGGACCATCCCTGTGAGTTCACAGGCTTGTCTGACTTCTTCGCCTGTCTTCAAATGTTTGGTCAGACAATCAGCAGGATTCGCAACGCCTTTCACTTTTCCTATGATGACCTGTTTTGTTTTCACCAATTCTTGGATGTACAGATGTGCCAAAGAAATGTGTCTCATCTTTCCCACACCTATTCGTTTGGCTGCTTGCAAGGCTGCTGATGAATCGCACCAAATGCGAGGCGTGGAGACCGGAAGGCCAAAATCGTACCTAGCTAAGTTCTGAATGTACATACTTGACTGGGCGCAGTGATTCAACGATCTCAACTCTGCCTCGCCTGAGCTTGTCGCTGGGTTCCCCGACTGAGTAGTCGAGTTTGCTTCAACCACTGTCCCACCAAGTACAAGAACCTCGCCTGAGGTAGATTTCCTTGACTCTGTGTCTCCCGCATAGTCGCTGTCACAGTAAGCGTGCAGCGGTAGCTCCCGCTCTCCTGCGGCTGAGCTTTCGAGATCCTCCACCTTTGTTAGGTGTCCCAGATCTCGTGTCCCTTTGAGATATCGCCCCAGCACCTTTAGGTTCGCCATGTCAGCCTTCCGCGGATCTTTCATTCGACGCGCCAACTCTTTCACAGCGAACTTCACGTCGATCCTGTCCTGGGACAAGTAGATCGCACTACCTACACACGATTGGAAAATCTTCTTCTCTTTCTCGTCCAACAATTGCTCGCTGTTGTTGTCCAGATCCAATTTTCTCCCGGGCACTGGGCTGCTCTTTGCATTCTCGAGGTTCAACAGTTTGAGGATGTTGTCGGTGTGCTTGGCATTGGGCTTAGTCAACACGGTTCCTTCCACACTGATCTTCTCTCGTCCCAGAAACTCTGAGCTTGTTTTGCCATGCTTTTCTGGCCATTCAAACTCTCCCACTTTCACTTTGCACCCATGCTTGGGCAACTGTACCTTCAGAAGATCATCCAAGTCATTTTCTGGACCGGTGACGTCAAAGTCGTCAATGTGGTGTATCACCGCAATCTTTGTCTTCGTGCACCTAAACACACATCCATCCAACCGGCCTCGGACGAAGTCATACCGATCCTTGGGCAACTTGCTTACAAGTATTTCATCCAGCCTGTCTCTGTACTGGCTGGCGGCTGGTTGCCTCCCATAGATGTTGCCATCCACTTGCCACACCAAGTGTTCCTTTGGAATGCTTCCGATTTCATCTCGCTTGTCTGCTGGCTGTCTGGATAGCCACACCTCCAGGTTGTCCAGCCACTCTCTTGGCGGCTTCATACACACCGGTTGTCCCTTTTCGTCGCCTCCATCTCGGGCGATGAGAAAGGCTGACGTGAGGTCCGCCTTCACTCTCGGAAAGTTGTGGTAGAGGCTGTATACCTCCAGCATCTTGGTTGTGCTGTGTCCTGGAGTTGGGCAAAAGTTGTTTTGTCCTTCTGATGAGTTCTTGTCTGCACCATTGTTTCGCTTGAAGTCTTGGCAGGTGAGTCGTGACTTGGCTATGCCACTGCTCACCTTGTCCACCCAACAATGTCCAAACACTTTTATTTCTTTCGGCAACGCCCTACGATCGCGGGGCGTGAAAGCCTTGAACATCTCATCCAGCTTCTCGATCTCCTCGAGTCGGGCCTTGCGCCTAGCCTCTTCATCCACCACGCACGCGTCCAAGTAGTCCGCCACCGAAGATATCTGATCTCTCTCCTCGGTTTCCTCCAAGATTGCGCTCACTGTGTCTTCCATTGTGGTAGCACCCACAGGTGTGCTTAAACCCTGGGTGTCGCCCACTTCCTTGCTAGGAGATCCTACATCACCTCCTAACTCTGGCTTCTCTGTGTTCTCCTCATTTCCTGAGTGTCTCGACCTCGACCGCGAGGTGGGCGAACTAGAGCTCGGTGAACTGCTGTCTTCACTGCTTACCTCTCCTGGCACTGCCCTTGAGGCTGCTGCGGCTGATGACGCTGGTTCTGACTTTGCCTTTGCTGTGGCCTCTGTTCTTCTGACTTTTCCAGAGCGGCTCGGCATTGCTGTTGTCCTTTTCGCCTCGTCCGCATTGGTCATGTCTGCGTCAATCTGTCGCGCCACGCCGCCTGCATCCTCGGCTTCCTTTTGCGTCAGGTGCACGCTTGGAGCGGGCACCGGCGGCACTACTACCATGGTCTTAGGCTCGTCTGCAGCTGGCTCGATGTCAGTCGGCTCATACTCCGGATCACTCATCTCTGGCGCTGTCTGCGCTGTCACTTTGCTCCTGATCTCCTCTGGCTTGCGCTGGTCGGCCTTGTACACCGTGTTCCAAGGAACTCCCGCTGCCTTGTCCAAGATACTCGTTTGGTAACGCCTTCCGTGTGTCATCCTCCTGATAGTTCTAAACGTCTGAGCTCCTGCACTCGTCAACAGGATGTGTTCATCGGAGCTAGCGGTCTTTCCGACGTAGATCCCACACGCCCATCTGGAAGCACTCTTGACCCCAGACTTCTTCGCTGAATATTTTCCAAGCGCACATTCACCAAAAGGAAGGCATTCCGAGATGTAGTCGTAACCCTTGAGCACTCGGAATGGTGTTGTTCGGGACTGGTTCACGTGGAACCTCGGCAACGACCAACTCACAAATCTCACAATCCAAGGAAACAGGATGTCCGTGGTTTGTATCACTTGCTCGCTGTAGTTATCCCGGAGACTGGCCACCCAAGTCCTTACTTTGCCAGCAATGAGTCCATTGACCATCTCACCGTCTGCCAAACTCTGGGAAGAGTACCTCGGGCTCCTTCTCAATGCCACCACGTCCATACCCATCCTTTGCTGCACCTGCTCGAACACCTTCGCCAGTGCACTTTCCTGGTCGATCTGAATTGTCACTTTCTTCCAACCCAAGTCCTTTATCCAGTCCACCATTGCATTGACCGCGTACATGTTCCTCTTTGTGCCTTTCGAAGGCACCTGCACTGCAAAGGGGCATTGGCTGTCCTTGTCGATCGCTGTCATAACAATCGCCAAACCTTTCAACTCCTCTGAGTCCTTGCTCTTTTCAACCTCCTCCTTGTTCTTTTGCTTCCCCTCAGCTGTGAAGTACATGTAGTCGCTGTAAATGATGTGCTCCTTCGGATCCTCATGTTGTCGGCGATGTGCTTTCTCACGTCCCTGCCCTTCAACACAAACCTTGCACCAAGGTTCAAAGTTTGCATGGTGAAGCTCGTGCTCAGCGACTTCCTCGGGGCTTGGCTCTACTGGTTCTGCCATGATGGGCTGTTGCTTCGCCTCTTCTCGCTCCTTGAGTTCCCACAATGTCATCGCATCGTCGGCCAACTCATCTCCCTCGTCATCTTTGCCAAACGGGTCCTCCAAGTCCATTCGTTGGGATTCTTGAGCCTCCTGGGGCTTAAGCTTGAAGATGGTCTCACCTGTCCAATACCGCAGCAAAGATTCTCTGGGATTCTTGACTCCAAACCAGAGATCCTCGAAGCTCTCGCTTGCTGTCCGATCCACCCACTTGGCCTCAGTTGCTCTGACTGGTTCCAAGTCGCCCACGATCACTGGGCAATCGTCAGCATCCGCAGGGCTAAACTTCCTGAGCCTTGGCACCACATGAACACGGATGACCAAATCGCGCTCTGTCTTCCAGTAGTCCACTGGCTTCTTTTCGCTGACTGGAGCTCGCGAAGACGATGAGGTGGCACCCTCCAGCGCTGCAATGCGCTGCGCAGTGACGCCTGCCTCGCTGGGCGATAGTTTCTCAACCTTCAGATACCACCTCTTTCCTTTCTTCACTAATGGGTATCTCTGCCCATCTTTGCTAAGATAGCTCTCTTCTTGACCAAACGTGACCTCGAACCCTTTGTAGACAAGGCTGTGTACACTGAGCAAAGTTTCACTGGCATCGGTGACAGTCAGGTCCACTTCGCCCACTGTACCGTCGTCCAGCCTCACCTTGGGATACTGCTTGCCATAGATTCTCAGCGCAGTGCCTTGCACTGAAAAGAGTTGCTTCCCTTGTGGCATTGGCTCAAAGTTGTCACTGAACTCTCCATTTCGCGCCACACTTTCACAAGCACCCGAGTCGATCAACATGTAAACATCCTCACTGTGGTCGCGCACGCCACAGATGCGATCCGTCACCGCAAACAACATGTTGTTGTGATCTACATCATGGACTTGCTCAGATATGGAACCTACACCTCCCGTGGACGCCTGGGCCTCCTGATTTGTCTTGTCCTCGGAAATGTCAGACACCTTCCACCAACAATCCGCCGCGATGTGACCATATCTTTTGCACACATGGCATTGTTTCCCCGCGTGTGGGTTTGTTCCTGCTCCTTTTCCTTTTCCTTCCTTCTTTCCTTTGTCATGCCCAGACTTCCCCGCATCCTTTCCACCTGGCTTGCCACCACCACTTGCTTTTCCTCCTTTTCCTTTTCCACCCTTATCTCCTTTTCCGGAGTCCTTTCCACCCCGATCCCTCCAGCCGCGATTGTCGCCCCACTTGCCCGAGTTCCCACCTTGGTCCCACTTGCCTTTGTTGCCCTCCTTGCCCCCTTTTCCTTTTCCTGCCTTTACAGCTCCTATGTCCATGGGGGCAGGGCCACCATCATCAACATGAGACTTCTTTGGCGCACCAAAACTCGAGCCTTGGGGTCGCCTCCAAAGGTTTCGGGATGTAAGGTACTGTTCTATGTACTCCTTGGTTTTGCTGTACGTGTCCAAAGTGTTGCTATGCAAGAAAATCATCTGCTGAATTTCCTTTGGGGCAACATGAACCAAAACGCTCAGCTTATCGTCGGGTTCTACTTTTCGAAACTGCTTTTCAAACTCGTTCATCTCAGCCTCCCACTGGTGAAAGGCTTCAGACCATTTGTTGATGTCACTTGGGAATTGAGGGTTCATGAGATGTCTTCTCCACACCCAGCTCTTCGTTCGGTTGCTCGGCTCGTTTGTCTTACTCAGCACGCGCCACACCTCCAGCCCATTTCCGTCAGGAACCTGAGTGATCAGCTGCTGAGTCTGCTCAGAACAGTAACCGACAAGAATCGCATACAACGCTTGACTCAATTGCAAATCTTCAAGAGTGACATCATCACTGTCATGGTCAATGCTCTCTTTCTGCTTGCTTGCCCAGTTCAACAAACCAGGGTACTTGTCATGTATGGTTCCTAGCCAAGACAGAAAAACATGCTTCCACCGCTCCCAGTCTTCTTTTCGACCGGAAAAAGATGGGGGTTTGGGAATGTTCCTTGGATCCACCAGTCGCCCCCCGGGTCTCTCCTGCTTCTTGAGCTCGAGTAGCTCAGCTTGCTGTTTGGTGATTTCTGCCTGTTGCCTAACAATTTGCTCACTCTGCTCCATTAAACGCGCGCCCATTTCAGCCATTTGTTGCTGCATCTGCACCAGTTGTTGTTCCATAGCTCTCAGTGCCTAGGCCCACTACGGAGTGTGACCTAGAAAGTTGAAAGGGAAAACTTGGAAAACCAAATCAAGGGAAAATGAATTTGTACAGAACTATACACCGATCTACTCACGACCGTGTGCGGTAGCTCCCGCAGTCAATGGGGGTCTCTTCCCCACCTGCGCTCCTTCCAAGTCTCGGTCTCCCACCAGTTGTCCCAGTCACCACGCTGCCACCTGTAGTTGGCGTGGTACGGCTGGTAGCGCTCCCACTGCTCGTTCCTGCGAGTCTCGTCTCTCCTCCAGATGTCGCTGCCGGCCCTGGAGTTGTACCACGAGGACGATCCTGCCGAGGTTGCTGTTGCACGGCTTGTGTCCTCTGTCACCGAAAGGTGCGTCACTGAGGACTCAGGTTCCTCTTCCACCTGGACCTCAACCTCCTCGTCGGAGCTGTAGTACACGCTGGTGGCAGGGTGAGTTGGAGCGACTGACTCGAACTCTGTTGTTGGTGCGTGGGAAAGCGTCGGCGCTTCCTCCACACTTTGTCTCTCCGATCCCTGCCGGTGAGTTACCGCTGAGCTTGACGAGGAACTGGAAGTAGGTCCTGCTGCCACACGTCGAACAGCCTCGTCCCTCGCAAAGCTTGCCCTTGCCTGCTTTCCAGGTCTGTCCTCCAGAAAGCGTCGAGCAAAAGGGGTACCTTTGAAAACTGCCTCCCGCGCTTTCTGAGCACGGAGGTAGTTCACCGAAGCCTTATCCCTAGGCTCAAGCCCCGTCCACAGTGACCTTTCGTCACTCACGAACTCCCTTGTCTCAGGGATTGCGGCCAGGTTCTCCTGGCTTCCACCCTGCAAGGCAAGTCCCTCCAGGTAGCTGAGGTTCAGCGCGGGAGCAGCTCTGGCTTCTCGTGCCTCAGGCTCCTCCTGCCCTTCCTCTAAGGCTACCTCTTCGTAGTCCGCCTCCCTCTGTAGGCGTCTTGCCAGGCCACGAGCAAGTCGGCGTGCTATGGCCTCGGGGGATCTCGTGCTCTCCCCTTTCTCCTTTCCACCACCTTTCCCCGTCTCTGCGGGATTGACCGGGTCCTACACACGGACCTCGGAAACTGGAGCTGCAGCACCCCTTCGGAGGGGTTATGCGGTAGCTCCCGCCTTTCAGGGGTTTAACCCCTAAGTGAGTTTCGGAGCCCTGGCTGCCGACCAGAGCTCCGCTACCATGCGCGGAGTGCTAAACTCACAAAAGCTCGGACTTTTAAGCCAACACAGGGCTGCAGTGTTAACACGTATTGGGCTCAAACACTACTCAAGGGAAAGGCTGCACAAACACTGTACTATCTGCGCAGAAACCCCAAACCCCAAACCCTAAACCCCAAACCCCAAACCCGAAACCCTAAACCCTAAACCCTAAACCCTAAACCCTAAACCCTAAACCCTAAACCCTAAACCCTAAACCCTAAACCCTAAACCAACAACTAAGGCATCGTCGAAAGCATCGGTTCGGGGCTCACGCGCTGCCCATGACACAGCCCCGCCCGGGGTCAGCTTCGCGAAGTAGGAGTCCGAGCTGCCAATGTTGCGGATACCAAACGCATCTCCTGCAAGCACACGGCACAAAGGAGTTCGTGTGCTTTCTGCTGCTTGCGGCACCACAAAGTCGGGGGCAGATGGAGTTAGGGTTTAGGATAGAGGAGGTATGAATTGTTACCCTTTTTGGTTCAAAGGGGTTTATAAGGGAACCCGAACCCTAAAGCAAGGAATAAGATGAGGGCCTACTCTGGGTCCTAGTTGAGTGACATAGGGGGCTTAATAATTCGAACAGGGCTTTGGGGTATTATCGTATATTTATAAAGGCTTTGGGGTTATCATAGTGTATTTTTCAAGGGACTATAAGGGAATACTATTCGTAATTATTCCCAACCCTATATTTTGTGGCAGGCATGGTGGACGCATGTTGGCGATAACGGTCTGAGTTTGTCAGAAGGCCTGAAGCATTGGCTTGCTTGGCATGCGAGGCGGTCACCCTAAACCCTAAACCCTAAACCCTAAACCCCTAAACCCTTAAACCCTAAACCCTAAACCCTAAACCCTGAACCCTGAACCCTGAACACTGAACCCTGAACCTGAAACCTAAACCCGCTGCGCATGCTGCAGGAAGGAGAAGAATGGTGCAGCTGCTGGACGAGGACCCACAAAACACCCCTGCCCAATGGCAGGCGAATTTGCATGTCCCCAGAGACCCCAATACTCCTTAATGAGTGAATATTCCTTCAACCATACTAGGAACACCCTCTTTTTTGTTAATGAATATTCCCTTCAACCATACTAGGAACACCTTCTTTTTTGCTAATGAATATTCCTTCATTAAGTTAAGGGGTATTGGAGCCCCTGGGTCTCCCACAACATGTGGGGAGTTGTCATGATGCTTTTTCTTCGCTTAGGGTTTAGGGTTTAGGGTTTAGGGTTTAGGGTTTAGGGTTTAGGGTTTAGGGTTTAGGGTTTAGGGTTTAGGGTTTAGGGTTTAGGGTTTAGGGTTTAGGGTTTAGGGTTTAGGGTTTAGGGTTTAGGGTTCTGGGTACCCGAAATAGTTGGGGCCGCCTTATCAGAGGGTTCTTAAGGGAGGGGGGTTCAAGGGGGAGTACAAGGAACCTTAGGTTACATACCCCCCTTGAAGCCCCCCCTCCCTTAATAAACACGATAACCTTATCATAGTAACCCCAAAAGAGACCCGAAGTTAGAGATTTGACCATCTGCACCCAGGCGCGGCCCAGAGTTCCAAATGAACCAAAAGAGCTGAACTACGTAATATAGGGGCCTGAAGAAGTATAGGGTTTTTTGGGGTGGGTTAGTATAGTATATGTATAAAGGGACCCTAAGGGAATACTATGAGAAATTATTCCGAACCCTATATTAAACGGACAGGGAATGAATCACTACTGCCTGGTACTCATTCTCACAGGTCCTTCACTTCGTGATGCCAAGTACAGCGCGCCCGCACCATATGCCAGGCCCCGTACATCATCCAACTGCGGCGTACTCACAAGCTTCGTCCAGGCGCGCGCCTCGAGATCTTCTTGCAGCTGCATCAGCGCCGATGTGTCCTTCCCACATTCAACCCGCTTCGACTTCCCCACGGGGACCCCCGTAGCCCCGGAGGTCTTTGTGGGCAACAAAGCCATTTGAGAGATTGAAAGCCCTAAGTCTCTAAGTAAATCGGGAGAACAATGTGTCATACTCCGTTGCTTTCTGGTTCTCCAAACCATTGTTTCCTTGAACCCTGAACCCAAAACCATAAACCGTAAACCTAAACCCTAAACCCCATTTGGCTGAACATGTCTGGCAAGCGCAGGTCCTGGCTCGCACGGCAAGCATCATGTGACCCCCATGCCAGCACCGCATTCCAAAGCACAACAAGCAAAGGACGCGACACCATTGCGACCCACTTTCAGGTCTGCATGGCTGATCACCTTTAAAAGCTAAAAACCCTTGAGCCTGGGAGGCAACGCCAAATCATCACAAGCGAAGTCGCCACCGGCATGAGTCCCAGCATACGGCGCGTAAGCCGAACACGCTATAAAATCATGGGGCAAGCCAGTTCCTTGCAAGGCCAACTCTCGTCATGGCAAGAACCTTCAACACAACCTTCGCAAATGATGCGCCTCCAGCCAATGAATTGCATGTCAAAAGTGCCTGAGGGCCTAGGTGCAAATTTGCACTTTCTCGCCTCGACGCAAGAAAGAGTCTTGAAACAGGAGGAATGTAGGAGACCTCAGGGCATGGGTCCTGTGGCGTTGATCTTTCGGAATCCTAAACCCTAAACCCTAAACCCTAAACCCTAAACCCTAAACCCTAAACCCTAAACCCTAAACCCTAAACCCTACTCCCCAAGAAGGGACCTGGGGCTGGTCCAGCAAGGTCAACGCCACTGGCCAAGCGCGCCTTTCCGGGACCCCTTCGGGGCCCCTTGAGATCAGACAGTTGAAATCGCTTGAAAACGCACAGCCCGAAGCTGGCTTCTGCAAAACTGGCCACCTGCTGCCTGGACTCCCTGAGAAACTTTGAGCCCAGCCCAGGTGGCACCCGACCTTCACGGTCGACGGTCAGAAGCTGCTTGCAGAGTTTCACTTCACTTCATTTCTGCTGTACGGCCCCAACCACCACGGCTGGCCCACCCCCTGGCGCGGGCTCGTCCATCTTGGCCTTGCAGCAGCCGCAGCACACGCAGCAGCCCAGTGATGCCGCCACGATGCCCAAGACGCAGGTGGCCCAGCCAAAGGCGCCGATGTAGACCACCAGGAAGCCCAGCGCGTTGCAAAGGGAGGACATGTCGTCCCTCTCCTGTGGTGAGCACTCGTAGCCGCTGCAGCGCTCATTACAAATGGCATCCACGAAGGGCCCGCAGGCACCCATGGAGCCAAGGAGGGGAACCGCCAAGGAGACCAACCCAAGCACGATGGCGACGCCAGCAATGATCTTCCCGTACTGCTTCAACACTCCACAGCAAAGCGGGAAGGAGGCCAGGATCACCATGATGAGGGCCAGCGCCATGCCGCCGAAAGAGCCACCGTAGAGGGACGCCGTGAAGGCATTCTGGTCGAACTCGCCAGCGTTGTTGCAGGCCCAGGCGCTTGCGCAGCAGGCAGCCGCGAGAAGGACCTGCGACACATCAGGACGCGCGCCCCCGACAAGGCAGGAACAAACACTCGAGCTGTAGCAAGAGACACTATCGGACTACATTATCATTCCGTCCGATTCACCCAAAGCGGCCTTGGACACCAGGGACGTCATGGTGGGCGGAGGGAACTAGCTCGCCAAAGCTTGAGCCGCTGTCGTGCTTGGCTGAGATATCGAGCGCTCTGAACTTGTCAACCATCCTCTGCCCGTTTGTTCCTTTCATGTCACCCATACAAGACCCAGGAGAAACCTAGGAATAAAAAGGGTGCCCTTTTTGGTTTAAAGGGGATTACA